GGTTCGGGGGTTCGGGGGTTCGGGGGGGTTTTGGGTTTGGGGTTTAAGGGGGGTTTGGGGTTTGGGAGTTTAGGATTTAGGGTTTAAGGGGGTTTAGGGTTTAGGGTTTAAGGGGGGTTTTGGGTTTGGGAGTTCAGGGTTTAGGGTTTAGGTGAGGGTTAAAGGGGGGTTTTGGGGGTTTGGGAGTTTAGGGTTTAGGGTTTAAGGGGGGTTTAGGGTTTAGGGCTTACGGGTGTTTGGGGGTTTACGGGTGTTTTGGGGGGTTTACGGGTGTTTGGGGGTTTAGGGTTTGGGGTTCCATGGCGGGTAATTGGCATTTGCGGTGCTTAGGTAGAACACTTCTTAACATAGAACCATCACCGGCTTCAAACATGCCCAGGGACCCCCCCTGGAACGCTTATACGTCCGGATCCCCCGTCCCCAAACAGCACCTAAAGCCCAAACCCTAAACCCGAACACCCTAAACCCGAACTCCCAAACCCTAAACCCTTAAGAACCCTTACAGGATCCCCGAAAGGAACCCTTATAAATTCCCCTACGCCCTACACCCCCCCCTCCAAAAAAAAAAACAAGAAAGAAAAAAGGAAACAACTTTCCAAGGCCTTAAACCCTGAACCCTACAAAGCCGCCCGAGGGTCTGCAGTTGCATCTGCTGCATCAGCTGATTCCTCTCGACCTCTACGGTTTAGGGGTTTAGGGGTTTAGGGTGGAGGGTTTAAGGGCTTTTGGGTTTTGGGGTTTAGGGTAGAGGGTTTAAGGGTTTAAGGGTTTTTTAGGTTTTGGGTTTCGGCTTGTTGGGGTTCTATCAGGTTTCGCATTCCCAAAACCCTAAACCTTAAACCCTAAAGCGGAAGGTTCTGATGGGACTCAAACAGAACACCGAAACTATTCAGGTTCACCTTTTTAGGGTTTAAGGCTTGGGGCCTTTTACAGATTTTTGCGGTGTCATGTGGTTCAGAGTTTCTTAGGGTTCAGGGTTTAGGCCTCGTATGCAACACCAAACACTAGCATCCTTACTATTTACAGCAAGCTCCACCGGAAAGGAAGCGTTTAAGATGCAAAGGGCCCTGATACTTAAGGGACAATAGGAGGGACGCCTAGAAGGGACCCCTAATCCTAATACCCTATATAACCATTATATACCCCTTATATAGTCTCATAAAGCCCCTTTTTCAACCCCAAGGATCCCTTTAAGGGTCCCTCCTGTAGTCCCTTGAGATACAACACCCAAATGGCCGCCGGATCCCTATTACATTATTCAACCCGTGAACAAGGACTCCCCTACTCTTCACACCCCCCCCCACCTGGTGCTTCTGCTGCATCTCCAGCAGTGACGGCCTCGCTAGCATCAGATGGCCGCTTCCGGGTTTAGGGCTTGGGGTTTAGGGTTTAGGACCAGTAATTATAGTCGGGTTGCATTGTGTATTTTTATACCGTGATCGTAGCAGTGCTACTACTACGAAGAATAGCTCTTTAGGGTGTATGTTACAGTGTTTCAGACAGGGGCTATGCGGGGATACTGGTAGTTGTTTTTTGGAAGCTATATTCTCAAAAGGCAAACGATAATCACCGAGAGTAGTGTAACACATTCACAACAAAGCTGGTTTGTCAAGCTATCAGCAATCCAAAATAGCAGTCAAAACACATCGTAGTACTTACGACAGTACAAGCATTGACTAAGACAAAGATCAACATGAAATTAATTATGATGATGATAGCATTGGTATTAAACACAATGAGAGCAGCATCAACATGCATCGTAATAGCAACCGAAAGCCTACCATAGATACCCTTACTACCTGACATGGGAAACACCTGCAACAGCCACATAATACTCGGAATGACCACACTTACGAAGTCCGCTACCTTGCCACACATTCTGGTTTCCGAGATATGGGGCCCCCCTTAGTCATAAGAAAGAGCCTCATTCTTAGAGGTGTAAAGGCTTTGGTTCAGGCGAGAGAGTGTGCACCGGGAATTTCTTCATGTCAGGCTACTGCTAGAAGCCAAGAACCGCAAAGCATAATGATCACCATCCCTACATCTTAAACCTCAACTCCAAGCCCAAGTCCCCCCAAAAAACAACACAGCCTCAAATTCTAAATCCTAGGCCTCAACCCCCCAAAACCCTGACCCCCGACTCGCCGAACCGGTTCAATCTCAAACCCCAGTCGAACCCAAGAACCACCAACCGGCAGGCAAATTCACATAATGGTTCTATGGCATGACAGCTTTCAACGACGACGCTCATGGTAGAAATAATGACATATATATATATATAAATATAAATAAATAAATAAATATATGTATATATATATATATCTCTCTCTCTGAAGCTACAAACAAACTAAAGCTTCGCATTTCCTGGACACTTCCCGGCAGGAAGCGCCAGTGACTCTCAGGCTCGTACTGGGGCTTCGCCACCTTCCCAGCGCTCAGGGGGGTTAGGGGTACTCTAGGGGCATGGGCATAGGCTGGAAACTGAGGGGGCTGTGCACCCTGGACAACTATAGGTTAACCCGAGTATGTACATGTACAAAAGAAAAACGTATATATATATATATATATATATATATATGTATTTGTTTATTTGTTCGTTTATTTATACTTTACATTTGTATGTATATTTCCTATATTTATACACACAGAATTCATTTGATATAATTACCCGGTTTAGTTAAAGGTTACCTACCCAGCCCTAAGGGTTACCTACCTAGCCCTAAGGACAAACGACCCTTCCATGCTCTATCTCCGGTCGTGGCCTCCTGCATGGGCTGCCTTGGATGTGGTGGCAGCGGGCCAGGGCTTGAAAGGGTTTTGCGGGGTTTGTATGGACTTTGATTGGGTTTCTCAGTTTTATATTACTGGGTTGTAGTTTTGGCGCCCTCAAAAGTATTTATGAATAGGTACCTCTATAGAAAAAACTGCCACCTAGACTAGGCCCTATTATTAAGTCAGCAATCAGGCTCCGGGGCTCCGGCTCCGGGGTTAATGGGGCTTATAGGGTTTATGGGGCTTAGGGTCTATGGGGTTTATGGGGTTTATAGGGTTTATCGGGTTTTATGGGGCTTATAGGGTTTATGGGGTTTATGGGGTATAGGGTTTAGGGTTTGTGTTGAGGATTCCAGATCCTGGCTGGTGAGACCCCTAGACGAGCTTCTTGGCCTCCACTTGGAAGCTTGGGGCCTTCGCGAGTACCCAGACCCCCAAAAGGATCTAAAAAATAGATCCCCTAAGGGGGTTCCTATAAGGTACCCTTTAGTAGTTAGGGTCCCCAATTAGGGGATCTATTTTTTAGATCCTTTTGGGGGTCTGGGTAAGGTTAGTGCTTAGCGTAAAATAAAGCTACTTGCAACACCAAATAATGACTGAGCCTCATGATCCTAACCTTTACAAGACTCTACATGGATGTGATCCAAGGTGCACAGTCTGCGTCATCGGCTGCGGTTGCGCTTGCGGCTGCGCTTGCAGCTGTGGCTGGACCTGCTGTGGCGGCTTTTGAGCCTGGGCCAGTTTGTAAGGGTCAGGGCTTCAAAGTATAGCATGTTTCAGACAACGGTCTTCTGTATCCCATGACATGAGCCCTGGCATAAGGCTGGAATGGTTCAAGTCCCACGAGAGATGCGGAGGAATACGAGGATCCGCAACAACCCTTGTAGGGTACCCGATCCTTCTCGCTATCAGTTTTAACAAGAAGACAGAAAGTCAAAACAGAGTGCACGCACACACACATGGCTAGATCTCTAAATTAGGGTCGAATTTAGGTCCCCATTATAGTACGGCACCCTTATAAGAAAGACCTCAAAAGGGACCCCAATTTAGAAAACTACCCACACATTTTGCGGGACGATCATGAATGTGGGGGGCTCCGGCTCCGCAGAATCATTTCGATATTGGGGAAGCTGCCCATGACTCACAGCCCAGACCCCCAAAAGGATCTAAAAAATAGATCCCCTAAGGGGGTTCCTATAAGGTACCCTTTAGTAGTTAGGGTCCCCAATTAGGGGATCTATTTTTTAGATCCTTTTGGGGGTCTGGGTTGTCCATCTGCTCAAGCCCAAAACCCTCAACCCCGAATCCTGAAACCTAAATGCCCCCAGAAACTGAAACCCCAAACCCTCCATCTCGAGCCCTTACCTCAATCGTAAACCTCAGATGGTTTAGGGCCTAGGGTTTAGGGTTAAAACCCCGAAATCTAACCAAGCAGTCTGAATCTCGTCACGACTCATATCGATTTCTGACCCCAAGAGAGCCCAACTTCACTTCCTAATGAAGGACTATCCAGTAAGTTGACCAGTCATTGTTCAGGATTCATATCGCGATCACAGGAGCATTTCCTTATTGAATTTCCTCTTCTGACTCAAGTCCTTCATTAAGCGGCTCCCTGAGATATTGAACCCTCACGGAGCCTGGAATAGCTGCTGCTGCTGTTGCAACATGAGAATCTGCTGCTGCCTCAGTGCTCTTTCAAGGGGATGATAAGAAGGGTTTCGAAGGGTTTCGGCATGTCTCGCAAGAGAAGGTACGCAAAAGAGATCCCCTCCAATAGATCACTAAGGTTGCCGCAGCTGTTGTTTGATGGCTGGCGGCTGGGGAATGAGCAGCTGCTTCTGCAGCTGCACTACCTGATGCATCGAGCTTCTGGGCTTTATGAAGCTTTTGGGGTGCTATTCGGTTTGTAGGGTTTAAAGCGCTATTGAAAGGTTTGAGGGTTCGGGGGTTTCTTGCAGGTTCCCATGCACCAGTGGTAAGTCTAGTCAGGTTCCCCTGCAACTCTGATGATGTTCTCCATCACCCATCTTACTAACCCTACTCACTAAGTCATGTGCGCGTCCCAAATGCGGTTTCGGCTTACGGCATCCCAACCTAACCGAGACTAGGAAGGGCAAGGAGGGAGTTGCGGCCTGACTTGACTTGTCTTCACAACGTCGGCCTTGTAAGCCATGGTCCCCTTCTGGTATAGATTCGTTTTGATCGAATGGCCCAGTGCTTCACGGGGTTATATAGGGGTCCCTTAACCCAATAAAGAAGAACACATAAATGTCCCAGTGGCCCCACCTCGGGAATCATAACCTAGCATTTTTGTAGGCTTCGTTTCGTGGCCACAGGCAAAAAACCTTCAAAACCCCCTTAAACCACCTGTGGACCCCTTACAGGAACCCCAAACAAGGACCCCAAGCCAAGCGCCTTGGTCCAAAGTTCCTTTAGAAGTCTTGCAGAACCCTCTTTGGACAACCACAATAACCTTTAAGAGCGGAATGAGAGTCCCTTAAACCCTGAACCACTCCCTTGCAGAACAACTCTTATGAGACCCTTCAACGAACCCCGAAAGGCTTCTAAGAACCTAGAACCCTCAATGGAACCCGTAAACCCGGAAACCCTAAACCTAAAACCCTAAACCCCTAAAACCCTAAAACCCGTAAACCCTAAACCCTAAAACCCCGCAAACCCCTAAACCTCACACTCCCGAGCCTGGTCTTGCAGCGCCCCAATCCTCGGCTCTAGGGCTGAAGGAAGGAGGTTTCAGGGTTCAGGGTTCAGGGTTTAGGGTTTAGGGGTTTCAGGGTTCAGGGTTTAGGGTTTAGGGGTTTCAGGGTTCAGGGTTTAGGGGTTTCAGGGTTCAAGGTTTAGGGGTTTAAGGTTTAGGGTTTGGGGTTTAGGGTTTGGGGTTTCAGGGTTTAGGGGTTTAGGGTTTAAGGGTTCAGGGGTTAGGGTTTNNGGGTTTCAGGGTTCAAGGTTTAGGGGTTTAAGGTTTAGGGTTTGGGGTTTAGGGTTTGGGGTTTCAGGGTTTAGGGGTTTAGGGTTTAAGGGTTCAGGGGTTAGGGTTTAGGGGTTTAAGGTTTTGGGGTTTAGGGGTTTAGGGTTTCGGGGAGGTACCTCGCGACTTGATGTAGGGGCCTTAATGATTAGAATAGGGTTCCCTTAAAGGGTTGGTTACATAAGGGTTATTATAAGGACTCTATAAGGGTGTAATGAGGCCTTAATGATTAGAATAGGTTTTTGGGGAATATTATACTTTACTATAATGAGGACACCACCCCCCCAAAAAAAACAAACACACACAAATAGAACAGGCACTTATTAAGGCGCCTAGATTCAGGATTGCCTGCCGTTCGAAAATCCTGCTGTCTTGAAGGTTAGGCCCTATGATTACGGGCTCAGCATTTCGATTGCCAGGCAAGGTCTAGGCTTCTGGGGGTTTAATATAGGGGCCTTGATAA